ATAAAACATATTTATTGATTAAATATTCATATTATATCAGAGAGATAAAAATGAGCATATAAATGTCGAGAGAGATAAAATCGGATGTTAAAAGGTGTGACTTGTGTCAGAGAAACAAAAGTTCAAGTCAACAAACGTTGGGATATTTACAACCTCTGTCAGTGCCAATACGAAAAAGCACTTTTCTTTAACTTTAAATGAACTTTTAGTTTGTGTCGGTGATATGCAAGACAAGCACGATATTACAATAAAAAACATCGTCAGCAAGAATTTCAAGTCGGAGAACAGGTGATGGTTAGTGCTACGCATTTATCATTGAAATATAAAACACGCCTGCCATTTAATAAGGAGACAATTTGAATTTGACATGTTTCAGTGCGGTGACAAAAGTTTGAGGAATTTCTGACAGCATATTTGGAAAAAGCGCCTTTGATTGTATCTCAGACCTTGTTCGCTTCTTTGCGATACTCAATTTAGACAATAAAACTAAGCAACAAACTTGTATTGTACGTGAACAGAGAGTTGCAGAAACTCGTTTTTACACATGAATATCGCTAAAGACTTGTTCTAAAATGTCGAATACACCAGTTTCTCTTCCTATAGCCGTGTTAAGTTTTGTAACTGCGTTTATTTTTCTTATTTTCCGTGAGTTCATCGTTTTCCGGCAACTTTCAAATTACAGATATATCTCAAATCGAATTGCCTGCCACTCTCTCAAACTCACACGATAGTTATAAAAGTTTTCCAGTTTTGGTGCAAAACGAATTCAAACTGTTATATCGTAATCAAAGCCATCGATTACATATATCTAACTGTTTTTTCACTAAAAAAGCGATCAGCACTTGCGGACTTTCCCGCTTTAGTCCCGAGGATGTTGCTGATGAAATTGTAGCAGCAGTTAGATAGCTAGATTTTTGCTCTTGAAATCCTTGCTCTTTGTCCATGCAGATGAAAAAAGTCATTCGACGGGTATGGCCGCGAGTGCTCGAAAACAGGCCCTCGCCAAGAGCTCGAACCCTCGATATAAGCTTTCGAGAGGTGTCAATTTCGAGCCCTCTGGTTTCAGACAGGTAGCGAGCCCTCGAGAAAAATTTCGAGCAGAGATGTTCGGCTCTTCCTAGTGCGACGAGAGCTCGGAAGTTCCGAACATCTATGTTCGACAGCTTCAAACTTTTCTCGAGGGCTCGCTACCTGTCTGAAACCCGAGGGCTCGAAATTGATACCTCTGGAAAGCTTATATCGAATGTTCGAAGTGTCGTTTTCCGAGGGTTCGAGCCCTCGATGAGGATCCATCGAAAGCATATTTTCAAGCAATCGAAGTATCGCTCAAACAACTGGTTTGGCATATCCTATATTTTTGCGAATGTCTATAAACGTAGAAAAATAATCCCAAAAAAATATTGCATGAAATAAGCACTCCTTTAAAAAGACTGCAAAATAAAGCCTGCCCATTTTTTCCATGAAAACCATGATGGTGGTTTAAAAAATTTTTTTGTTATATTTTTATAAGAATCAATTAAACGATGTTGATAACCATTAAATTCTCTATATCTGTGTTTATTATTTGTAATACATGCTCGATTCCATATTCCTTCTTCTAACCATCCTTGGATATTTAATAATCGATATGGATTTTTGTAAAATGCCCCATTCCACCATAACGGTTTCCAGTTTAAATCTAAATGTAATATATGTCCACAAATACGATTATTATGGCTTATTTTTCCAATAGTTCCTGTATATGTTGGTAAAAATGCATATGTTTGATTAATTAATTTAAATGATAGCCAATACGTATCTTTATCACCATATAAATATCGATATGTGTATTTTTCTCGTAAATATTTTTCATTTAATTTACATGTTAATAATAGACCATACAATGAACGAATTTTATCCATAACAACAACGCCCGATTCTTGTGTACGATTATTAACCGTTATAGAATGATCTATAAGTAAACTTTTTACCCATTTTAATTCATTCGAATTAAGATTAACACGATCATAAAAAAATAATGCACCATTTTGTATATACAGAGGATTTTGAAATAATTTTGCTGGTAATTGTAAGAAGAAAACATCAGAATCCATTAAAATAATATGATGAAAACTAGATGCTAAAATAGCAAATGGTTTTATTTCCCAACCACGTAATTGTAATAAATTATCATTAAATATAGTCGATAAATCAATTAATTTTATTAATGGAAATTGTTCTAATAATAAACGTTGTAAATCATGATCAAGATCTTCATCACTTGAATACATAATTTCAATGGGTAATTGATTTTGAATAGATAATAAACCTTCTAATGCTATTTGTGTTCGATTAAAATGTTTATTACCTGTACATATAACAATACCTTTACTATTAATATGTGTTAAATTTTGTATTTCATATAAACTATTACGAAACCATGGAAAAAGTTTTATTTCTAATTGTTGCTGTTGTTGTTGATGATTATTTTCTAGAGAATATTTTTGATATAATTTTAATAAATAAATCATATGGTGAAAATCAACATCGGGAATTGATGAGAATGTTAGTGTTCGATAAAAAAATAATACGCAAAAAAGAATACTGCTTGTTACAATTAATGTTAACCGTCTATTAAACTGTAACATCTAAATAGAAATTAAGTTTAACAAATGATGATCACTAGTGAATGGCTTAGATAAGTAGTAAGTGATGTCCATAGTACATGGAGTTTCTTGCAAGTAAAAAAGGCACTTATCAAGTAATTTAAAAAGGATTCCCCCACTCGGTTTTTTTCCTATCAGTTTGCAGAGGACACTTTGAAGTATATACTTCAAAACTTTTTTCGGATATCGGATCTGCAGTTTTTGAGAAAATAATCTTTTAATTTTAGTCTCGGTTTTCTTGCTCCGTTTTTAAAAGTTTAATAAAATTTTTAGATTTCTACATATAACCTCGGTTTTGATGTCAATCGATATAGAACATCAAGATGTATCTACAAAAAATGTGATCAAGCTTTCGGTCAAGTATCGACTGAGTTATTCCGCTTTGATCTGCCCGATGGCATTTTGAAGCAAGAAGTATTTTTAAAAACATCTTGAATCAAATTTCGCTCGAAGGAAGCATTGTCAAGGAAAAATATGATTGCAAAAGTTGTTCAGAATCAGATTCTGGGGAATATGAAGGAGGGATTTTTCAAAATTCATTAAACTCGATTTTTAAATTGAAAAATACAGTTTTTAAAATTTAGTAAAATTTAATTTAAATGGTTTAACGAATTTAGAAAAATTCCTAGTTCATATTCGAGGGAATCTGATTCTGAACAACTTTCGTAGCCACACTTATCCACTTGAATCCATAATATATATATAAATTGTTCTTCTTGTTGTGAAAATTTCTTGAAACTGTGTGGGGGTATGGGGTGCAGGGTGATTGACTGTGAGTATTTATACAACAAGCTCAGAGTGTTTGTGAAGTGTGCAAAACACCAGGAGAGAAAGCTGAGTTTTAACACCAGGAAAGGAGTTTAATGACGGAGCGAAGAAATTATAAACTTCAGAAAATGCTGTCATAGCAAATGCGTGAATCCTATACACACATGTTTTTAACTTCGCCGTGAATGCAACCTATGCATATTATGACAAAAAGGATACTTTCTCTACTTATTGTATTTAAACGAATATTTTGTATGGTTTTTTAAATCTGATCGACAATATTGGCAAAAATTAGACTAATTTTGCGTATTATTTCGTTTCATCGGCGATGTAGCTGTGTGTAATACTTTCCATTCTTGCTTTCGAATATTTTTTTTGTTGTCTGTCAACTAATTAATTTGATATTAGTTAAATTGGTATATATTCGGTATCCTCTCGTATCGTCCCGTCTCATTTCGTCCCACACTTGTTTCGTCTCCTCTCGTTTCGTCCCACACTCGTTTCGTCCCGTTTACATTTTCTACCATTCTACTCATTTCATAACTATTCATTTTTTCTATCAACTGTATACTAATTTAATTTTAACAAAGTCATTTTGTATACTCCGTCATAGAGTTTAACTGTTTAACGGAAAAGTAATAACGGAAATGTAATAATAGTATAATTGTATTAGCTCGTGATGCTTCGACAGTTATTCATCCACCCACAGATCATTCACAAATACCAGATCCAATTCAAGCAAAAGTTGATGAATTTAAAAATACGTGCAAAAAACGTGCAAGAGAAGAAACAACACCAATATCCCAAATCCATCAACAAGAATTAGTTAAATGTAGTTTAAAACACAATGACATATCATTTTTACCGTCATATTCATCAATTGATTCGTCATTTTATCGTCAACGATTAAAAAATTATCCAAAATTACCAAAATCAGTGTCAGATCTTACGTTAAATGGAAAGTGGGGTACTGATCTTCGTGATAACGTTTGGTATTTTGGTGGTACTTTGTCTGGAACTGAGCTTGCAATCAAATGCGGCAAATGTGTTAATACTGTAAAATTATCTGTTTCATTGTAACTCGTAAATAAAATAATAAATGTAACTTATAAAGACATGTATCAATTATCAAATTATTAATTGATTAATATTGATTAGTATACAGTTGATAGCGAAAAATGAATAGTTATAAAATGAGTAGAATAATAGAAAATGTAAACGGGACGAAAAGAGAGAGGACGAAATGAGACGGGACGAAACGAGAGCTAATTAACAAATACGGGACGAAGCGAGAGTAATCCATATATTCTTCTTGTATATATTTTCTTTAATTTAATTTTTCTTTAATTGATTTGGTGATCAAAAGTGTCATCTTTTGGAGATCATTTCGATACAAGAAATTTGGTGATGAAAAAAATACCCAGTTTTTGGTATGAAATGTTTATGAAATGATTGTACGATGTATATTTCGTTAAGCCTGTCCTCCTCCGTCTCCTACCCATTTTTTTCATCTCTTGATTTTATTCTTTTTTTCTATTTAATATCTGTTGATGAAGCGAAATGTTTTCAAACAATATGAGTCAAGGGCCAAGATAACTAACTCCGCTACCGTAAAGGTGATTTCGATACTTATTTCGCTGATTTTTCGCCCTTATGTCTTTCGAACAAAATGACATATCAAGCTCGCGCTTGTCTTTTTCTATTAAGAAAAAGTGTGCATAACAAAATGAAGTATCCCGGAGCTTTGTACAATCGTCGGTTACGAAATGGTTTTGAGGATATTCTGCACTGATTTTACAGCTTTTCTAAAGAATAAGTATTCTTTAATTTAGTAGTATATGTCTGTAACCAATGATCATCGAGACTTCAAAACTGAGACGTTCAAGAAATATTTAACTAATGGTTCTTCTTCATTGTCTAAAATTTCAGCTCGATCCGTCTGCCGCTGAAAAGGTCGATTTTTCAATTTCTCTAATACTGAATTTGTATTCATCTGTGATATAAAATGCTCGACAAACTAGAAAATTTAAAAGATCGTTATTCTGAAACTCTTTTAAATTTTAATGGATGTGTCTTTTCAGAAACAATAAAATGCAAATCTATTCTCCTGTGCAGAATCAGTACTATCAGTTAGCGATTGCTCTTTATTTTCTGCCCGAAAGATCACGGAACACTTGACAACTGCCGCTGAAAAGGTCGATTTTTCAATTTCTCTAATAATGTTTGAAAGGTTGTTGGATGTAATGTTCCGCTTAGTATACTGTTAGTGAGGAATTTCGTTTCGTATTTTGCGGAAGAGAGAGTTTTACGTAAAAGTTTGAACAAAAAATAGAAAAAGCTTTGTTTACTTGTGAAAAAGGATTGCAACGAACAGGGGCGTCTATCCCGTGGGACGTTTGAGGCTCTATGTCTCAAACAAACGTAAGGTGGTACGCTTTATTTGCTGTAGAAATAAATCTTTTAGGTAGTATACTGAGTGATCGAACCTTCGAGGTGGTACAAAATACCTCAAAAATACAGGTTGGGACAGACGCCCCTGGCAACGAAGTAAACGCTGATTGCACTAGCGAATTTTACAGTTTCGACGTTGTCTAGTTTATTCTTCTCTTTTCTTCTTTTTAAACTGCTTCTGTCAACACAATAAGGTATAGTGTCTTAATAATATTAGCAAATAATATATATATATATTTAATTAGAAAAAGATTTCTCAGAAAGAGAGTAAACATGTTATTTTCTTCTTTTCTTTTCTTTTCCTTTTTGAAGTGTATATACTCGTCCTAAAATTTGATTGCTTTTACTGAATTTCTGTGACATTTTTGTTTCAAAAAAAAATTTCGTCTTCTCGCTACTTGACTACCGCAAAAAATTTGTACTGAAAAACTTTCAATAAAGAATCAAATAAAACCGTAAACTCGAAAAATCATTTAATATTGTTCTGGCAATACTCTCGGAGAGGAGAGACAAATTCGACCATGAATCATGCCGTTGTTCTACGGCGTTAATCGATACAAAATTGAAACTCGCATTCAACAGACTCCCACAAATTCCTATTAAAAATTACTTCGATTTTTTCTATAAATGAGAAAGAAGCTCAAACTTAAAGTATGTATACCGATACACACACAGTAAATAAACATATTCATAATCAAACGGTTAATGATTACAGTGGCGGATTTAGCGTGCTGGCGGCCGCCAGCACCGAAATTTTTGATTTCATACTATTATACTCGCCTTCTTGTACAACACAGTAATAAAGGAAAAGAAGTAAAAATCATGTCGTCTATAAACTCCTAAGCAAAGTTGTTAAACTTGCTCTTTTGTCCAAATCTGCTAGCACCGAAAACTTTTTCTGAATCCGCCACTGAATGATTATTATCATTTTGAATCTATGCTCACGTGTAAAAAGAGAATTAGGATTGATTTCACGTAAGAAAAATAAAAATATGTTTTTTCATTCTCTTGTCAATGCATCATCTACTACTTGTATGAATTCTTTAAGCATGACTAAGACGCTGAGCCGGCTTATAATATATGCTGAAGTAAAATTTTTCATAACCGTCAATGTAGACTATCTACATTCATATAAGTCATCACAATCCTACCCATGTATACATGGGAAAAAATAGTGTATAGTCCATTTTTCAAGAAAACCGATGGTTAACCACGGTTATTCTAACTGAAACCATAGCAACACAGCATATTAAATTGAAGTTTAAACGCCTAGTTAACCGAAAAGAAACTACGGTTTTTATGCTGTGTTGCTATGGTTTTCCGTCGGTTTTTTTGAAAAATAGACCACATGGGTAGTTACGATGGCTCCTGTCATTCTCATTCATTGTTTATCATTGTTCATTTTACTATTAAATAATATGTCCGTCAGTTAGCGTCCAACCGGTACATGTGCTCATTCACTTCTCAGTATGACTTCATCGTATATTCTGTTTTTCGTGTTTAATGTAGGTATGAAGTACATTTAATGTAAAAGAGCACCGTGAAGTTTATTGGATAAATAGCCAACTCTAAATAATGAATAGTCTATAAACAACTTTCTTCGAAGCAGCAAAATCAACCTTTGAAACGCTATTGCTGTAGTGTCAACCGACATATCAAAGGTTCTGCTTCTATTTTATTATTTCATCCTATATTTCATCTTGTGATTTTTTCTCTTAGATGAACGTATTAGAAATATAATTTTTTCTTTTCGAATAAGAAATGTAAGAAAAGAATAAGTATTATATTGAAACAAATATTCCTTTGTTGTATGCCTGTGGATTTCTTTCTTTCTGTCAAAAAAAATGATTTTGTTCTTCAAGAGGATTGAGAGATGCGTTAACGTTTTCAGTTACAGTTTCCTTTTGACTTTGGACGTACATTTATTAGCATCCTATAACACCACCCGGGTCTGAAGAGAAAACTGATTCTGCATGATAATTAGCATAAAACGTGCATCGTCATCCAATACTCATCTCCAGTATTCACAACCCTGTAGCTCAAAAAGTAAAATGTGAATTATAAATGCAAACTTGTAAGCCACGCGGTTCCAAATTCCATTTCGTAAAATATTTGTGGGCACACATGTATCTTTATATAGAGAATATGAGAGAATAGACATGATACATGAGAAAGTCCGACTAGACCACCTTCTCCACTATCACTCCAGTTTTTCTCATTTTTGGTTCTTAATTGCTTCTCGACGTGCTCTTTCTTTTGTCTAGCGGAAAGCTTCTCCCAAAATGCTCGGAAGTAGGGTTTCTAGAAAACCATGGTTTTTTTACCTACAGGTTCCGATTAAAATTACTTTTAAAAGAAACTATGAGTCAAAAACAAATTTTGAATATGATATTCGTATTGAGCATTGAAAGGCGAACATTTTGAAAAAAATTGAGTCTCCAACTCGAAATTTGAATTTTTGCTAGTCAAGAATGGCTTTAGAAACTGATTGCGCATGGTAATCGGCATAAAACGCACATCATCATCCCACCCATGCTCATCTCCAATATTCACAATCCTCTAGCTAAAAAAGTAAATGTACTCTTTACTAAAGATAGCTTGGCATAGAACAGAACTTGTGTACTTCAAACTGACATAAAAGCGAAGAGTGATCCATTCTAGTTAATTTATTTTCATCTCTCAAGTTGACAAAATATAGAGTAATTTTATAGTAAGTGGAGTGAACATTTCGGTGAAAATAGAAAATTTGTCCTTTTCTTATTTTATCGCATGGTCTGTTCAAAATGAAAAGTGTTAAGATCGAAAGGAGGGAAAACTAAAAGTGGTAAGATTTGATCGCTATAGTTTAGATATATTTTCTGTTTTCTTTGCTTCTAGAACCACCATTCGACGTGATTTCTGTTTTGAGATCAGACAAGAAAAGAGGACTACAGGTACTCAGAAAAGCTAGAAAATTCGACAAAACATGCTCTAAAAAACACTTTAAATCATGAAGAATTAGAATAGACGCTGTCTTTCCTTTGAAACAATTGCTTTGATTCAATAGGACTACGTTCAACGAGAATGCACGTTGCTCACTGAGCGCCGCCTAGAAAAACAATTATCTTTGCAACCATCGAGACTTCAAAAATGAGACGTTCAAGAAATATTTAACTAATGGTCCTTCTTCATTGTCTAAAATTTCAGCTCGATCCGTCTGCCGCTGAAAAGGTCGATTTTTCAATTTCTCTAATATTGAATTTGTGTTCATCTGTGATATAAAATGCTCGACAAACTAGAAAATTTAAAAGATCGTCATTCTGAAACTCTTTTAAATTTTAATGAACGTATCTTTTCAGAAACAATAAAATGCAAATCTATCCTCCTGTGCAGAATCAGTACTATCAGTTAGCGATTGCTCTTTATTTTCTGCCCGAAAGGTCACGTAACACTTAACAACTTTTCCTCAGATGGAAAATAAAAGACAGTAGTAGAAGCATGAGACGAAAGACAGTGTGTATTCTAGTCGAACAAAATATCAATATTTTATTGACATTATTTAAAATGGACGACACGAACAAGTACTATTCATTTGCTTTTTGACAAGTTCTGTGAAGTAGCTTAACTTGGATTAAAAGGAACACTGACTT